AGTTATACATTCAATCCGCATACTGACGTGTATACAAGAAATAACGTGTGATTTTTTTCAACTTTTGCTCTAATCGGCCATGACGCGTACATCAACAGTGCAATGAAAACGGCTCACGTAATTGTCATGGCCTACTGTAACAAAAATTTAAAAAATCACCCGATATAATTAATTATAAATCTTACGGATTTAAAAATAAATATAGGTATAACATGTGACATATTTTATTATTAGACAATAAATATGTATTTTTTGTTAATACTTAATACCTATTTAATTATATTACAAACAACTAACTAAAACAACTAAAGATGGTTCTTGCTTTTTGTGTTTTTATGCAAAAATTAAATTTACAAAAGGTTGGTAAATTATCTACGCAATAAATCAGTTCCAAATTTAAACTTCAGAGAGGGCACTTTACTATGTCGATCAAAAGTATGAATTAATAAATAAATTAAATAAACACTATGTTATTACTTTCATTATTTTCATTATCAGGTTTAATAAACCTCACAACAATGCTCTCGGCACGATATTTACTATGGTTCTCAGACCATTCCATCTTATGCACTGCATTAGAAGATTATTAGTTTTATTAGATTCTTTTTTTCGATATTTACACAGAATTCACAATATAAAATTCCCAGCGTGAGTACTGTCTGTTACGTTTGAGAGAACAGCACGTAATGCTTGATAGACGTGACATTTTGAATATTTTTCCTATTATTCCAAAATAAATGAAACACTAGTAAATAGCATAAAACTATTCTAGGAAAAATCGCATGACCTAAAAATTACCCAAGTAAGACAAGTGCATTTATTACGGTCAATACAAAGCCACTTTTTAATCAGTAGGTTATAAAAAACACGGATAAACAAAGTTATCTTAAAAACCACATGTACACATAACAAACAGATCAATATTTGTATACAAACCGCAGAATAGAGAATAAATTTTAATTTCACGTATTCACTGGGTTGATTACAACATATTCATCTCGGTCAAGCAACGGGGTGTCATTTATTACTCTAGTTATTTAAATTATCAAGAATTCTTAACAATCAGCAATTTGTCCGTCTAATCATGTATATGAACTGGATAAAATAATTTCCAATCCACATTTCATGACGTAATTAATATTGGGTATTATGCCACACTATTAGTTTTATTGCGCAATATATTTGCTTTCGTTATGGCACACTATCCACTGTATGTTTAATATTAATGCCACAAGTTCTTTCCTCGTGTATTCGATTATCTTACTGCATTGGTTGGAACAACCATATCAGCGACAACAAATTCTTTGAACTGTTGGTACACAAAATATTTTCTAGAAATTGTCAACAACGTTATCTGCATAATTTAAAAACACATGCACGATATAACAACAAGCCAACAACTTCAATTTGCAGTCTAATCCCATCACTTAAAAAATGTTTAGATATGATGCCTGACCTACACAATGAGAAGTATTTTTAGACATACCGCATACGTATACACGATTTCTCATACGTAACGAAATAGCAGGCTCTTTTTTAAACAGCTTTGGTCGTTTAACAGTAGTAAACATGTTTGCGTTGTGATAATTTCTGGCGTATTAGTGAGTTGATAATGAGCACAAACATCAACAGTTTACAACACATAGATTTAAATCTACTTCTTGTTCTTCGCGTTGCGTTTATAAATTATGAAACGTGGCATGATCTCAGAAAACACCTATGCCGGCTGCTAACTCTCGAAATAGTGCAGAGTACTTGTGACTCATTAGCCACGGAGAAGGTCACATTTTTTTGGGACAATAACCCACAATCGGAATATAGAATCACATTAAACACCTTTTAAAAATAAAATGTTTTTGTTTATGTTATGTTCTCCCGGCAAGCAGTGAAATCATTTTGATTAACCAATCAGCGTTTACAGCAGAAGTTTCTCGGACAATAACATAACTAAATTGCGTGCAAAAGTCGTCACTCTGATGATCTGCGAATTACAAACAATTGTAAATAATATAAAGAAAAAACTGCGAATGGCGAAAAATTCGTTCCCTGATGTATTAATAGCCAATTAAGTCGAAAACCTTTGCTTCTTCGCAATTCTTCATCGAAACTTGCGAAGGCTTGTTCAAAACAAGAATCTTTGTGTAAAATTAGAAGAGTCAGTTGGAAACAGACCATGTTGAATTCCAAGGCTATCATCTAATATGCTATTATTATTATACCCACATTTAAAACACTTCATTGTTAACCAAATAGACCTGAGACGAGTTACAATCTATTTAGAAGCGTATTTGTTTTATATGCAGTATTAAACAACGTTGATTTGAAAAATACGACTAATTATTATCAATTTGTGATTGTAAACTGTGTGTGTGTATTAAAACTTAAATATATATAATGAGACTATCATAATAAAAAATGCTTCACTCTCCTCAACGATGTGATCAGAAAAAACTGGAACAGGATAAAGGAATTTTCTAACAGTTGTGTACCAGTCAACGGAGGCAAAATGTAATTACGTCACGCAAGATTGAGGTTTACAATTCGTATGGTATATAATATATTAAACTGTTATTATTGACTCACAATAAACGAAAATTGCAGGTTATTTTACTACAACAATTTTAATAACAAGCACGTATAGAAGTACGACGGTGAAATAACAGATTAATCCTAGGTTAAATTTGTGAAATTAGCCCATCAAACTTATTATATAAAACGAACAAATAAAGGAAACGCCATACGCTTCACAAAACTGTTTATTATTATTATTATTTGAAACCAAATGTGTATTTCTGGTCGGGCCCCACCGGTAGGAGTACAATCAATGATTCTGAATGTACATATCCATAAAAACGCATGAAACGTAAAGATAAAATGTTCACAAAAAATAAAATTTTTAAAACGACTCCACTAAATACGTAACAATCTTTCAACGAAAGACCAAGTTACAATTAAAGATGTGATAAATAAATCACCGAACGACGTCACTATTTAGTTAAGTCCATCAATTTTACAATTAGAAAAAGAAGCCAGGTCATTGTTTAAAAATTTATCCTTGTATCTTTTCATGTAAACGGCTTCCAGTATATTAAGATTCTATTGCTCTTTTTAGAAGGTCAATGTCATTGAAAAAAATAACCTGCATCAAAGCAATGTTTTGCCATTGCAGATTTCTCTATTTTAACATTTTTGATGTGTGATTTCATGATTTGGGTTTAATGAACCTGTGTGTCTTACTTTAACAATATCGTTGTTCACTTACTTTTAGGAGTTAATTTGGTGTATAACTCTTTTTTCTAGATCGTTACGTATTCTGCCATATTGGTTATTTATTTATTTTTTGTATAAATGTAGTGATTCGTATTCCCATCGTGACAGCTACAGAAGTATAACTTACAGTGCAGTGTGTAAATTAACACTAAATACGTCAAAAAAGTGAAAGTGGATAATAATCAATCTAATTTGTTAGCAAAGCGGATATGTAATAAAACTAGTGACTGGACTTCACAAAGAAATACAATTTCTTCCAAAGTCTCATGAGACATCTAAGTACTTCTTTAAAATTTTGCCTAAACATAGACAGTAAAATGACGCTCGCATAAAAGTGTTAATACACATACAATAGATAAAAACTTTCGAAGCGAAAGCAAGCGTTGTAGGTGCATATATCAAACACTATGTAAACAATTCCAAGTACAATTAAAATAAGACAACGATTTTGCACTTCTGTTAAAGCGTTTAAATTCTGTGACTTGTACTTTTACAATTTCGTAATTAATTTACCATTTCTACAACTTGAATAAAAATGGTCATCGCGCCTGTATCACGATGAATTGTAACATGTGGACCGATCTAGGAACTCATTTAGCTTCGCTGCAACAGGGGTCGGTACGGACAATATGAGAATAAAACGGCATTTATATTCTATACACTTACAGAAAACCGATTACATGTTATATTTATGGTAAAAATACATAAAGAAACGGTTCACGAGAAGATTAGCCATTTTATTACCACAATAACAATTGATAATTAGCTACCTTGAAACCAATGTGACAGTTAGATTTATCAAACTGTAAATATGCGAGATAAATAAATAACAAAGAAGCATTACAAATGACAAATGGTGCGATTTTTACATGAAAAATTGCACAATAAGATTGAATTATGTCAAGTAGCGAGCATATTCATGGTTGAATGGATGTGGCAATTTCACTGACAGTACAAGACCACTTTGTTATTGTAATACCTGCGTGACTTTAATTTTGTTAACCATTATGTATTCCGTCAATCGGTGAGTTGTTTACTCTGTTCTCCAATTTCTGTTCAAATACTTGATCAGGGGCAAAATTTTCCAAAAAAATTCGATTTACTTATCGTCAACACTTGAGAAATATGATCTTACAATAATGTAATTCAAATCAAAATTTCTATATGGGGAGCGAGTTGATAGCATTTTCTCTATTTCAATCAATTTTCATAGAAGGCTGTAGCGCAATTTGAAAATTGCGCTTGCATAAAATTCGATTTTGAGAGATTGCAATCATTCTCTTCTAAAATCGACATTTTGATACCACGATGTGATAATTCACAAATCATCATAAACCATTACACTGTACCTCATTATAACAAAGCATATGAGTGATGAAAAATATATGAAAATAGTAGTTTACACCGTCGATAAGACACCAGCAATTATTTTGTTATCGCGTAACGTATACCAAAAAGCTAGAACACAACTAAAATACGTTCGCAGACAGTGATACGGTGTAAATACCAATGTATTTCGCAATTGTTTGTCTCAATGCAGGCGAACTAAAAGTGCTGAAAACTTTTATCGTAATCATTTGACATTTAGTTTTTGAAATGTTACACTACAGGTGTTCTATTCAAACTCAGTGCAAAGTAAACAGACGTCAATCATTAGATAGCTGCTGTATTACTTTCAATAGTGCGAAAAAAATGAGCTCAGTAATTAAACCAAGTTAACTCACACTCACCCGGCATTCTCCACGAAACCGATGGACATGTGAGTGACATCTGCAGGCGGCGGAGAGGCGGCTGGAGGCGGCGGCAGATAATCGGCCCGATCCAAAGATCCGAGAAAAACGCCTGGACCGGCCGCCGCCTCTGCCTTGGGAAAATCTTGTCTATACAACTCCACTGGAGTACGAGGGCCGTCTCCGGGACCCTTACTGCTTTTGGTATAAAACAGCTTGATGAAATCACTTTATAAAGAGAATAACAATGTACACGTCACAACAGTCACATAATGTAATCAAATGTCGAACAGCACTTGCTTTCTATAAATAGCGTCACATTTGGACACAAGTACACAGGTGAAGTTTTAGTTTATATAAAGGATGATGGCACACGAGGAATTTCTGCTTGGAGAAGCCTTTTAACAACCAGTTGTCATGTTTGCCGAAACGCAGCACTAAACACATATTGAAAAAAAAAGACCTTGATGGACGGTGGACACCGAGTTCTAAGGCAGTTGACACAAAGAATTATTTGTACCTGGACATAACACACGCATTAGTACCAACCACGCTGTGGTTACTAATAAAGTTACTGATGACCACTGGATAAATCCAGACGCTTTAGAAACCATACGAGTCGCTTTAAACAACGAGCACAGATTCGATTTTATTCATAGGACTTCACAAATTTCTACATGAATATCAATCGATAAATCCAAGACAATATCGTCAAGTGCAGAATAGCAACAGTAGTAAGTAAAATTAGGTACTACATACGACTTGCTCTTGTATAAAGTTAGCAACTTGTACAGAAACACATCTAAACGTTGTTACGTACACATATTTTGTATTTCTCCAAAACTCTATTGTAAATAGACAAAATGCTTCTTTTTGCAATAAAACTTAAAGTCTGTGGGGTATGAATCAGTATAAATTTAAAAATCTAGTCCAATATCATCCGACCACTGAACATTAAAATTATTGGCTCAAGGATCGAAATAAATAAAAATAAGCCTACGAAAGTGGAACGATCCAAGCGGAAACATCGCGGTAGGTTCGCATCAAAAATTTCGTTTTCGAAATATTTCGAAAAAAATCTCCCGGTAAACACACAATGCGTAAATGATCTTGTTTATTGTTTAAAAAAAACAACAGCAGCTAGAAAACTGACCTAGCCTTTTAAGTTAATTTAAACACGCCAGACATGTTTATAAATATTCAGTTTATATTAAGTGCCTAAAGTTCGATTCAAGAAGTATAGTAGCAATCCCGTCGGCGACGTTATTAAAACCCATAATTTTAGGATTAAAGCAAACAACACATAAATTACATCCCCTGCAATGGGATTTTTTGCATTTTTTGGCAACAGGTTGAATTTTAAGCTCTACGAAAAAAAAACTACGTATACACAGCACTCAATAACATCCATCACGTTTTTAAATTCTCTTTCTCGGGACTAGCAGATGACAAAAGCACACGTGTTTTGAGCAATGCATGTGTTTAATCATGCGCAGGTGCAAACAATCCTCTATGCATACTTCAAATTTAACTCGAATGCTCGGGTGGTTTACCCACGTCGCACCAATGTTAACACAAAACTGTTCACTTTTCGAGTTTCAGAAACACGAGAGATCTGTCAAGAAGCACTATCGGAAGGTTGAAATTTCTATTGATGTAGACACATAAAGCCAAATACATAAATGTATTGCACGAATATATTGTGAAGCAACACAGTTACGACGATAATGTAATTATTTTGAACAAGTGTTCTCAAATGTGGAGAGCTCGGATCGAACAACAGACAGCTCGAGTCGGACACACCACAACCTCCAACGAAATCAAGTTGACTAATGTTCGCTTTTCGTTTGTTCAAACATGCCGGTAGAGGGCCACCGCCAAGTTGGTGCTCGGAGAACGCGCTGCGTCTATCGTGTCGGCCAACATAAATAAAACATCAGAATCGACGGCTAAAAGTTTGTGTAGTTGTTGGATAAATCTGCGCTAGAGCCGCATCGGCTCTAGTGAGTTGTTGTAGATCAGATGACTTACAACCAAACAAGAGTAAATTAAGCATCGTCAACTAGTTCGTAAATAAATTTATTTATACACGCAGAAAACTCTCGCATTTCGTGTACACTAATGAGAAAAAACTTTAAACAATTAACTGTTTAAGTAACAAGTAAAATGTGTCATAAGGCGATTATAAAAATTAAACCACGACATTGCGCCATTACATTGTTGCACTTCATCGTTGGGGAAAATCAGGTGAAGGTTGGCTGCGTGTGTTTCCAAATACAGCACCCATATGAATTACAGTCTAACTTTTATTACAGAAAAGCTAATTTCTTCATAGAATACGGTTTTTTTAGAAACAACGTATGGGAGTATCTAACCATTACATACAAAATATATAGAAACGCAAGAATGTCTCGTTTTTTACTTATCTTTCTTCCTCCAGCATAAATATTCAGTCTTTTGATGCGATAACTTACACAAAGTGTAATTGGTGTGTTAAAATAATATACTAGTTGTCCCTTTTCAGAAACTAAATATCAATAGCACACCAAAAATATTATACTAAAAATGCTTTCATAAAATAATGTCGAGCAGACGAAGTGTCGTACTCTTTTCATTAGTCTTTTAGTGTAAGCAAATAAAACAACCTGATCAACATATTATTTTATTCAAATGTATTACAATATCACGCACAATACAACCAGTATTTACATACTCTCTAAAATATACGCCTGCGTGCCTTATGCTAGTTATACTGCATGCCGATACTAGCCGACATTGAATGAGCCATTTTTTTGTTTTAACAAGTGACCTAAAAGTTAAAAAGGGTCAGTTCCTAATCTGTAAAACCTTAAATTACACATCCCCTCCATCAAAGCATGATAGTCACCAAACTACGAACAGCGTCGTATTTGTCCTATTTTATAATGGAGTTAATTTGCAAACGTCGTATGCAGTAACAGAATATTAATTTCATGTTTGTGTTTCAATATAGATGCGAAGTAGATTTTCAACATAAAATTATTTTATCTCGTCATTCAATCGAGCGAATCACTGATAAACAGCAGTTTTCTTATTGCAACCTCGAAACTTACGGAAATTTTAATTTCAATTGTCGAAGATCTTTACTAAGGCAAGCATTGTAGGCATAAATGACACTAATGGGATATTAAATTTTATTAGTACATAAAAATCACGTACGATTTAGTGACTACATGAAGCACGAAACGATAACGTACAAATATTGAAATAATTTGATTATTAAAGACGAAAGAGCATATGTCTTCACATTTTGCAATAGATCACATATGAGTGTTGTGTATTAAACTTAAACAAGTCTTTTACATTTTTTCCATCTTTTTATATCCACAGTATATATAATAAAAAACATAAAAAATTATCAGTTAACGTAAAAAATTATAAGAAGTTAAAATAGACGAAATAGTACAGTCTACATTCGTTTAGAAAAATAAATAGACAATAGGTTATTCTTCTTGCTGCATTTTAATTAAATGTGTTTACTACATTAGCAAGCAAATTACGAATACGTAAATTTAAATTTGTTTATGATGTTATTTTATATGTATAGTGCTTCTGTATTAACAATACCAATGGACAAAAAAAAACATACAAACAGAGTAACACCTAAATAATTGAGTTTAAAGTCGACAAAATGTGTTCAAATGGTGCGAGATGAAATACAGTAAAATACGTTTGAAAATAAACTTGGTGAAAACGTTATTCAATTACAAGATGAGAGTAAATACATGATTTTTCTTTTTAATGAATACAATACTGAGCCTTCGTAATAACAGGTTTATCAGTTATCGCAATGTTTTAGTTAAACATTATTATGAGTTATGAATATCAGTAGAAAAAACAAACATGTTCAATGAAGGAAACTTACCATTAATTTTGTATTTTATGGAAAATATTTCGTGCTGTTTCTGTTTTTAACACAAGAACTCACCTTTAATGCTTTATAAAAGGCATTATTTCTCGAAATTTGAATACGTTATAATGACCAGATGAAGACTAAATAAAATGTTATCATAATATTCATATGCAACGCTCAAATAATAATAATTGACGTTTGTGTCTACACACATCATTTTCATAGCTTAAAGGGATGGTCATTTTTGAAAGCACTGTTCTTCCCACATTATCAAAAAAACATGCGTAGGTATTTTCATGGATAACATTCTTTTTTGTTAAAACCCTCTTTGAAAAGCCAAACCTACATATTAAATTTAACCAATTCCAGTCTACAAATGTTGTTGTCATGCGACTTGTTTGATTAAATTTATATATAAATACCGATCAAAACCATTTTTTTTTCAAAACACATTACTTGAAAAATACGATATACGCATTATTAGGCAGTGATATTTCAGAGTTTATAAAATTTTTGTTCAAACCCACTCCTACTATTTTTAAGTTTGGTCAGTTTAAAAAAACAACAAACCGGAAGAGGTTGAGTTCCATCTAAAACTACAAATGACATGTTAACAGACTTACCGTGTTGAATGTAAATCAATTTCGTCATAGAGGTACAGGTTTTCGTTTTAAATTATCGCATGAGGATAGTTTACATTAAATACATCGAAAATGTTGTAACGCTAACCGTCCCCGAGTCTCCGCCGCCAACTTTTTAGGCCACTTGTTCACTTTTTGGAAGAATAATGTAACAGCTAATATATCTAGCTAAAATTACAGGGAACAACCGATACATTTTGTAACATCATCGTTATATTTTTTGAAGCAATGTTTGTCACATCAACAATACATATTTTCAGATCCACTGTTGTCTATTTATTATGCAACATGTTTTCCTAGTAACTAAATTATTGCCTGTTAAATTACTTCCTATTTGAAAAATAATTATAAAAAATATTAATTAGGGAAGATTGTTGAAACTATTATCCGACAATATTACGTTCCTCATAATTTCCATTCGCTCTAATAACATATAACATACGTCTTAAGAATTTAAACAATAATTTAAAAGAAGAAAGCACGTGAAAATAGCTTCGCCATTTTGAGAAAATTTTAGTACAATCACGTCTTTGGCCAGAAACAAACATACAAATGTTATGATTGCAAATTCAACAGACGTAATAATTTATTATTAATACGTATAATGCGAGAGTTGGTTCGTTAGGATTTATTGTTTGCAACACGGCATTTCTGTAGACTATTAATTAGACTAGAGTAACAACAGTATCGTGGCAGAATTCAATTAAAGCAGTGTTAGGAACAATATTATGTTAAATTCTGCTCTTTGGTAAAATTAGACCTCTCTAAACGAAAGCTGTCATTTCTGTACAAGTCAAATATGTTTTAACATCATCCATTTGTTCTGGGTAAGCGTTATATAAGTATTACACGTTATTTTTACATTCAAGACTAATAATAAATATGTATTACTATAATCAGCCGTTAGAATATGTCTAAAATTTACAGATTGCTACATATAAAACAATACCTATCGTGCGATCGAAACAACGTAATTGTAATTTGTAATGTTACATTTTTATTTAATATTAGTGCCACATCTCAACTGATATAAAGAGCATTATTATGTACACCTGAAACCAAAGCCATCTTCACTTCTTCTTCTTTCTTTTTCAAGTATGTAAATATACCACAGGATTTAATTACCTTATAAGAGAGCATTAATAGAAAATTCGACGATACTCTAACTAAAGTACTTAATCAACAAATGCACTTATTTATTTAAGTATTTAACACAGGCTTTGATATAGAATGAAAAATAATTTAAAAGTATTCGTTAAATTTTACAATCACTTAAAGTTTTTTCCTTCCGATCATCTTTTTTTCATAGTCGTAGCCTTTCTTCTTTTCCCTTGCACTAATCAAAAGTCACATTGATAATAATAATCTACATATAAATCCGTAAGGTGTTAACCAAAGTCTTGATTTCTGGTTACAGCCATTTATTTATTACAATTGCGAAAATACCACATTCTCAAGTAACAGAAATCAGCATAAAATTTATTGCCGTAGGAGTGACCGTAACAAATAATGGATCTTTACAGACACAAAAGTGCACGGGAAGAGTTATTGTTGAATGCATATTAGATCCATTAACAAGGAGTAACGTGCCATGAACATATCTCTGATATATTTTAGAGAAACACGTGTGGTATTTTAGTTATTCAAAACACTGGAAACACTGCATGTTTATGGAAATAGTGTACAGGTAAAAGATCGTTTCTAAAATTAAAGTAATAAGGGTACATTTAAATTTTTCAATAAAACGAATTTTAAGTGTAGGACAAATGCGTTGACCGGAGGTTTATGCAAAAACTGCAAGTAATCGTTCCAAATGACAGCGAATAGTTTCGGAGAACACCGACATAATGAAACCGAGCTTTTTACAATCTGCATGATGATGATTTTTCCTAGAAAGCTAATTCATAAAATTTGTTATTGTAATATCGTTTTTTGTTTCCACGCCTCGCACTTTGTAATGTTTGGAAGTCACGATGCGACACAAGCTACGACACGGTAATAGTTAAAAATTTATCATAATAATGAAAGTACCGTGTTGCGCACACATCAAACAAGAATTTAAAGCTTATAAGATGATCTTGTTTTGGGCTTTATTTTAAAACCTGGCTAATTTGGACAACTTAACCGGAAATTAGGAAGATAAAAATGGTAATTAGAATGAGCCTCCAACAATTAAAAAAAGTAACAACTATAAACGTTAATATAATGCCGCAAATTATTATCTGACGTCATCGTGACTCAATATTAAATCACTGAGCGAGTTAAACACGAATAATTACCCAACTTAATTATTTTTCAGAAA